ACGTTTTGTGAATTCCGCTTGTTGTGAAAAATGTATTCAATTATTCTGTTTTGTACACTGTTTTACAATGTGATATCAGGTAGTTGTTTTTTGCGGAATTTTTATATGAATATCCGAGAATGAATGTGAGTCTTCTCGTGAGAGTTTATTGAAATGTAACACCGCCATACAAAAAATGCTGACAGTCAGAACAACTCTCACAATGATGCAAAAACAAAAGAATCAAACATAAAACCAATAGCGTGCAATAGTATTAAGTATCCCTGTTGATGGGAATGAAGTGGTCAAGGTATACTCTTTCACTGTTCTCATCAGTACACGCAATATATGTATAATTTTTTTTAAAGTGAAACAAAAATCTATTTGTTGTAACTATTTCTTTTTATTTGAATGTACTTAATTTTTTATGTACGTATAAAAAGAAAACAGCACAAATGAAAACCAAAACTTCAAGTATTTCTTAGATCAGATTTGCACAATTTTATTTAAAAAAAAACATCAACTAATTAGGAAAATTGGGATAAAATAAAATAGATATGGATTTGATGCCTTAATTGAAATCGAGACTAAATTTCACACAACGACAGTCGATTTAAAAGTGCTAACTGGTAAATATGTATTTCTCGCATGTTTTTTTTAAATGATGTTACAAATAAAAGTAGAAGAAATTGAAGAAGACTTTTTTTATTTTTGAATCAGATAAGGCATGATATTTTTTTAATTTCCAGATTTTAAAAAATCTTTTCGTTTTAATTTCGTCTGTTTTTTTTTTATTATGAGCTCAATGACTATTATAGCCTGGACGATGAGACACACAAACGGCCTTTAAGTTTCAACACTACCATGCTATGATCATTTGCAAGGAATAAAAGTGGACTGGCTATTTTATGATCGTATGCATGCTTTTTACACTTTTTTTCTAAATATTTGTTTCATTATAATTGTCTTTTAAGCATGTTTTATTTAAAAAAAGACTATTTGTTTCTTTTGTATGTCTTATGTTGTCTTTTAATCTATAGCTTGTCTTCTCTTTGTACTTGATTGTGAATGCCGGAAATAATGTGTACGTAAATACAAGAATAGACATATAAGAACGGTATAATTATGCTACAACGAAAACGGAAAACACTTGATTATAATCAAGAGATAATTGATACAAAAAAACACACACATACTATTCAATTAACAATCAATTTCATTCAATTTCATTAAGTGAACGAAAGGAAAATTTATGTGAAACTATTTTGAATCGGATTTTTAACGAATTGTAGACATAAAAGAAAGGAGATACTATTTTTGCATAAGGATTATATTTTGACATGGGTTTTATGTAGAAAGTATAACGAGATTGCATAAGAGAAAAATACATTCTACTCAATTACGTGATAGTGTCCAACAACCCGTGTATACAAATAATGTGAGACGACACAATCACGAATTGTGACACACGACGCAAGTATCTTAACCCAATTATATTCATTATTTAAAAAAAATCCCAATTAAATTCTTTACCTTTGGCCCAATCGATGAATAGTATTCAATATTTGGTGTCGTTTGGAGATGTTCATCTGAATACAAATTGAATTCGATTTATCAATTCACATCGAATAATACACTTTTATGAATACGGTTTATTGAATATATCGTTATAGTTGCATTTAATCGGTGTCTAGGAGGTAGACACAAGATTTGTGAATGGAAAAGATTTGCTTGTAAAAATATGAATAAAGATTGTTCAAGATTGGTGAAGATCGGTAAAATTTGCCATGATTGCATTTCATTGAGAGAGATTTGATTAGAAAAGATTGGTGAAAATGGACGAAATTTAAAATGATTTGTGGTAGTCAATAATAGTGTCTACCCCTCAGATTGGTTTCAATGTTTTTCCTACTACAAATGATTTCAGTTTCAAGCATATTACCAAACAATAAATTTATTACTAGTCCAAACAATAAAAAAATCTCAATATCACGATATATTCAAATAAAATGTAAAACATCTATTTCTAGGGGTTATTATTGTTCAACTTTTGTTATTACTGCAAATAGCGAAAGAATACAATGCCAAATCATCTCGAATGCCCACAAAGAAATGTGTTTAAGTGCATGTATTTTGTCTATGTTTTTTGGTCTCTTTTCTGCACACTTTCTTCGTTTCTGAGAAGTTACTGTCTGTGTAACGTTGATTTTTTTGCTGTGTATATGCTTCTAGGAAAGACCGTTGAATCTCTTCAGCTCGTTCCATATAAGTGGTTCGTTCTTGTAATAATTTTCGTTTATTTTCATCCGATTCGGCAGCTATCAGTGGCACAAAATACTGTAATCCTTCGTAGTATGTATAATATGCCTCTCGGTAATTTTTTTTTTCATCCTTTTCAACTGCTATCGTCACAATTAGAATGGCCTTTGCAAGATTCTAATGCATAGACATCAAATAGAATAATAGTAATGATCTCGTAGACATGCTTCTCTCGGTTTAATTTCATTATTCCATGCACATACGCACTCATTCTCATCAGTACTTTGGTTATCAAAATACGTTTGCATTGATAAATACGATGTATTATTTAAAAGACACATCGACAGATCAAAATGAATGCGTTTTGAATGGGAGAGGTTTCGCATCGTTCAGAAAAAGCTTCAGTGATATGATAAAAAGCTTTGAATGTATGCAATGGATGGTAGCATCTGATTCGAAATGATTTTCGCATAATCAAAATCAAATTGTTAGTAAAATGATATGGCCAAAAAAGTGTAATTAGCGCACGGTGCGTGCTGATTCCATGAAATTTCACATGTAAATATCAACTTCCTGAATAATTCATCGACATTTTATGATTGATTCTCTCTGTGTATGTGTGAAATGAAATGATGGATCCATTTTTTTATGAGTTAATTTAAATTTAAAAAAACAGTCAAATCCGATTTATTCCTCTAATTCGCAATAGATATTTCGCAACATTTTGCCTGCATAAAATATGAGGGTGGGTACTTGTTTTTCTTGGAACATAATAGATTATACTTTTCAAAATTACGGTGCTGTCTGATCAAATTCGTTGTCGAAAACAAATGCTTATGAAAAGCAAAAAAAACACTGCGGCGGATTTTATTCGTTTACGACATTTCACCCGACCAATTCAATTGTTTTTCTAAATCTTTCTTTATTATTTGAATTTTCTTTCTGGGAATTTTGTTTTGCAGTTTTCTCTTGATTATATCCTCTGAATGCTTCGGTTTATAACCGGTGCAGGTAAACTCCTAATTGCCTATTGTTTTGACAATTTTTGTTTTATATTGTTTACAATAGAAAAAGAAGAAAATTGAAAAATAGTTTGGATTTTGGTAGAATTATATTCAAAATGTACCATTTTTAATGACACAAACATATTTTATGCATATGAATTCGGGACAATGAGGCAAGACACTTACAGCAGGTACAATTGTGAAAGCAAAATGAAATTGCAAGCACATGGAAGATTCTCTCTATTCGTATCTTGTTTACCGATGTAAACATTCTAGAAAACGCATTCAGTGTATAAAGTGCTATTGAGTTGATTAGTTGCCTTCGAGTGCATCGCCACATTGAGTAGAAATGAATTTCCTTTTTGCTATTTTCACTCACATCGTAAATATGAAAAAATCAGTGATATCAGTAATAGTTTTGGCAGCGGTGTCTAAATTATTGTTACCACATTTATTTGCATATTACGAAACGAAACAGCAGCAGCTAAATGTTACAGCCGATAAACCAACTGCGAAATCGTACTATCCTGAATTGAAATTTGCAATTTCACTATTGGCTCTTTTACAAAAGAACGAACCAAACGAAAGTATTTTTTATTCGCCACACAGTGTGTACACAACACTTTTGATGGCCTATTTTGGTGCTGGTGGTGAAACAGAGATAGAACTCAAACAATTATTATTGTCGACTGAAACCAGTAAGGCAGATGCTGAATATGCATATCAATTGAAAAAAGAACAACAGCTCAATCGATTTCAAAATCAATCCGTCGAATTTACTTCGGTTGAAAAATTATACGTCCGCACTGGTGTACGAGTCCGGTAAACTAGAAAAACATTGTGTTTTGTTGAATTTAGCTAAAAATTGATGATTAATTTTATATTGTAGTGATTCAATAAAAACCCTATTGAAGGACAGCATTGAACAACTCGATTTTGCTGATGACCTCGAGCAATCCATTAAACTCATTAACCAATTCATTACAAAAACGACGAAGAACAATATCAAAGATTTTTTACAACCAAATTCACTATCGAAACAGACAATGCTCGTTATGATCAATGCAGTATATTTCAAGGGACAATGGGTATGTGTTTTTTGAGTTTGATGGTTTCTAATTTAATATTGAATGCATTCATTTGCAGGCAAATGTGTTCGATAAAGGGCAAACTGATCGGAGAATATTTTATAAGCAAGACGGTGAAGAAGTTTATGTTGATATGATGCATCAATATGCACACTTCAAATATGGTAAAATATACTTTAAATTTGACTGTCAACCAATAAATACGATGATAGTTGTTTTAAATTTACTTAACATCAGGTTTCATTGAGAATTTGAATACACAAGTCCTAAAAATGCCATATGAAGATGAAAATGAATCCTTGTCAATGTTCATCTTCTTGCCAGACGCTTCTTCAACCGCTATCGATGTACTTCTGGACAAATTATCACCAGAAATTTTAGATAATGTTTTCAGCGGACACAGGAGTGTATACCGACCAACATATATTAATGAGGAAATTTTTGTTAGTCTGCCAAAGTTTTCGTTTGAAAGTAGAATCGATTTGTCCTCGGTATGTTGAAAAATTGAAAAAGTAATTCATACAATTTTCTATTATAGTTTTTTTATTTTGGTTTGTTTTGGTTTGAATAGATAATGGAACGACATATAGGGGTTCATAATTTATTCCAAAATTCCAATTTCAGTGGTATCTTTGAATCAACAGAACCAAAATTCGAGTCTAAACTTGCCCACATGGCGAAAATTAAAATTAATGAAGTAGGCACCGTAGCTGAAGCTGGTACATATCTGAGCACCTGGATAGCCTCTGATTGCCGATCTTTTGATTGTAATCATCCATTTTTGTTTGTAATTTATGATCAAAAATGCAGTGAAATGTTGTTTGCTGGAATTTATCACGGCCCAAATGTGTAATAAAATATTTAATAAAACTTGACATTGAAACAGAAACAGAAATTAAGCTTTTTGTATGGTCTGCATTTTCATGCATGCTGAAAAATATACAAATCAACAACTTTTATTATTTCGTATTATTGATGTGTCATGTCATAAACAATATTTTAAAAAATATAAATAGAAACCGTTCCAATTTTTTTTTTATAACAATGAAGTCGTATGAATATGCACCTATAATGACACGTTTTGTGAATTCCGCTTGTTGTGAAAAATGTATTCAATTATTCTGTTTTGTACACTGTTTTACAATGTGATATCAGGTAGTTGTTTTTTGCGGAATTTTTATATGAATATCCGAGAATGAATGTGAGTCTTCTCGTGAGAGTTTATTGAAATGTAACACCGCCATACAAAAAATGCTGAC